GTTTTGGACTCAAGAGTAACTGGCTCTTTATGAAGGCATATGAATAATACATGTACAGCATCTACAAATACTAGATACTGCCTATTTATTTTAGAGAAGTATATTAATGATTCATTTATAATTAGTGATATAGGATGACTAATGCCATATGTAACAGAATTTAATGAACCCCTTTGGTATTTGCAACACGGGAAGTCACAAAACAGAAGAGACTTTGAGGGTCATGAAGTAGTGAAAACTTCTACTCTAGTGCAGCCTACTGAATGAACAGCATGTAAAAATCCCCCAAACACCAAAAAGCTGTAAAATCTGTAGGCTTTTTTTATCTCCTACCAGATTTGGAAACTTAGGCTTCTTTTTAGATGAGCTTGGTGATAGCATGCAGACAAGATGCTGTTCTAGGAAATATAAAGAATAGGCTTGATGAGGGGGGAGATATTATATGTTCTTTTCTTTTTCTACTTAAAAAGTGTGCACTGTCATAATTTTCTTGTCTTCTTATTTTATTCATTATATGTTGGGCATTCTGGGCTTATTTTTTCCTGTATTTAGTCCAACCTATGCACATATCTTGCCACTCTTTGTACCTGTAATTCTGGTTTTATTACTCTAGGAAGTATCTATTTATTGATGCTGAAATTCTAATCTTAATGCCTGTGACTGTTTCTGCTGTAAAGTGCTCATATAAATGCTTCAAAAAAGTATCCACTCAAATATTGTGATACTGATCATTGATAAAGACCTTGTAGTTTATCATAAAACTGTAATAACTTGATTGGCTTGTACCTGTACTTGCATGGCTTTTAGCGCAGTTGAGGGTAAAACGCTGCTATTTGGATCGTCCATGCTTATATTATTACTGCTGTCTCTAATGAAATGATCATGAGATGTTACTACCTGTGTGATAAGCTTAGGGAGTAGTTTGGCATATGTTCTGTACAGCAGAGAAGTCTGTGTAAACATCATTATTATTTTAAGATTAATGTAAATGGTCTTTCAAGTATCTTGTTTCATATACTGACAAGCTAAAAGGAACTGCTGGGAGAATATTAAGGACAGGATTCTTCTCATCCAGACTGAGACATTTACAGTGGAGATTTCTAGAACTTAGTGTAGATCTCTCAGGGCCCTTTATCATCATTAGAGAGGAACTGGTGACTTTGGGGCATGCTTAATCTTAACTCATTTAAACATCTGCTTTAGGACAATTGGAATCATATCCTAGGATACCCAGAGTCTTTTGATTTTACCTATATTGATGGTAGGGATAGATCTGCATGAATGTTTTGGGCATCTAGATTTTGTGAGCTAAGCCCAGTAAATGGTGAAGTCCCAGAAAACAGTCCCCAGAAGCTGGCACTGCTTTTGCACATTCCTGGGTAACTGTCATCATGGTGGATCTGGTGCATAAGTGTTGGGTGTGTAAGTGGAATTGGCTGTATCTCCAAGCCTAAGAGGGGACTCTCAGGCATATTTAATGCATATGGGGAAAACTGGCATCTTGAAATAGAGCAGTCTGTTTCATAAAAGTCATACCACGAGAAGCTGGCTCCTTTTCTCAGTATCTCAAAGGAAGGAGAATTCTCTGAGTGTATTAGGAGTGCAGGTGGGTGCTCTCTGTGCAAGGTTGTGTCATAAGAACCTATGTTAGCATGGTGGAAAGTTCTTCTGAAGTGGGAGGACTCTCCCCTTTTATAACCATGTCACTTGACAGTAAGCTGGGCCAAACAAATAAAAATTGATCCCTTGAAGAGGGGAACCCTGTTGCCCCTCTATGAGAATTACTTCTACACTTAATGCAAGGGTCAGTCTGTTTGTTCCTATATGTTCCTTCTCCCACAAAGGGGATTTAATCGCTTCACTACAAAACGTGCTCCTCTGTTTCTCTCTGACTGGTACCTTCTCTCTCCCAGGCTGGAGATTAGGTCGTGCATAAGCCTTGGGCTGTCATTCTGCACCACAGAGAACATTAAAAGTAAATCTTGTTTACTGTTTGCCTTCATCTCTCTTGGTGTGGCGTTCCTTTTGGCACACAGAATGGCAATTATTAGAAATTTGCTCCCAGTAATGAATACAGTGTTAACTCAAGGTTAATGCCAAGCAGAGTGACAAGTACGCTTGCCTTTTTGCTTGCTACTGAATTGCTGGCATCTGAGAAAGATGGTTACATACTTGTGGCATTCAGTTTGTGCTAAAATTGTAAACAGCCAGTTTGAAGTTTGGTAAGCTGTCTGGGGGGCTAAGGCATGACTATAATATATGCAGGATGAAAGTATATAACTCGACTCTGGCAACATACTTTGAAGGAAATTTAATACATTGTCTTCGGTGTATGCAAGATCTGTTTTGTTAAAAATAGAGCAAAGGTATAATAGGATTTGATCACTCTGACTGGAACATTGTAAAGAAAGGGCCAGGCACTAAACCATTGATGCTTAAATCAGGCGAAAAGCTAGTTAGCTTCCCTGACATTAAGGGAATGAATTTTTAGAATGCTGTTCATTGATATCTGACAAACAGCTTGAAAGGGATGCCAAACCCTCAGGGTTTCTGTCAGGAGCCTTAAAACACATTTGCATATTTTTTGCATAGAAACAGGAGCTCTCTCTCTGTTGCCAAACTGCAGAACTAAAAGGATGCAAAAACTCTATCTAGTCCAAAGGGCTCTGAGGAGGAGCTTAACCAGAATTCAAATGTGTGCAACAGATTAGGAAAATTACTTCAAATGGGATTTCAACCATATCTAAGGGAGACACAGAAATCCTGAACAGATTGGTAGGCAAAATGCTACCTGCACTGCCATTAAAAAGCTTGTTTTCTTCTCTAGGCATTTCTCATGTAAAAAATAGCTCACTGACGTCAACTGATCACACAGATTATTGTTGTTTAAGGTGCTACTGCTTAATTCTCTTGATATCAAATGCAGTTTTTTTCTGAGAGTTTTGATTTTCTCAAGTTGAAATCAATACTATTGTGAATATGACAAGAGTGATGGAGGAATAAAGAAATTATTGTCCTCCACATGCAGCCAGTACACCCAGTGGTCCTGTTTGTTGGCATCTGAATGTCTTTCCTAGCTATACCATTTGCTGTCAGTTGTTGTGGATTGAACCAGGAGTCCCCGAGCCTTGAAAGGACTGCAGGGTGCCTTGCCAGCATGGGCAACTCTGCTGAAGTACAGAATATGTGACAGTGTGAGCTGGAGTTTGAGCTAGACTGGTTTTAACTCCTGTTGGTGGGAGTTTGACTGGGAAATTTTAGCATCCAAAGAATGGCTCACACACAGATACACCCCTCTGATATCACTGATACTGCTCTTATGCCTGTCCTTTTCACTGAATTGTTTCCTCGTTTGATTCCAAATGTTACTCTGTTCTTTCATTAAAGGAAAATACTCGCAAAGACAAGAAAACATTTGGAGTCAAGATTGCACTTAATATACAGGTGATATTGTGTTGGCAATATCTTCTGTATCATGAACTAACTATACTTCTATCATTTTGAGGCGGAAGCTGATGACTGCAGAGAAATTCATTATGGGTGAAAGCATCATGAAATTTTTAGCATATAGTTTTACTCTCTGGTCATCCACCCACCCAGGCATATGTGGGTGGAGTTCTCACTATATTAACAGAGAGTTGCCTTTTAAATTTCCCATGGATCAAGTGAACAATAGACTTCCATTGTGTATACATGGCAGTGCCATTGATCTGGTGGATTTTGATTTGCAGTGGTGGATGTGGTCAGTGATGTGTGAACAGGAAAGGCGCAGTTAACTCTTTTCATGAAAGTCTATATTAGCCAAACCTGTCTTTGAAATAAAATTCTAATAAGAAAGGCTGTATTGATACAGTTAGATTACAGTTCCTAGTGATTATGATGTTAGAAAATGAGAACGTTATCTGTGACTTAAGTTATGGGTTTGCGCAACACTGGTGGGGTTTTAAAACTTTGGAAAAAGATTGGTATCATATCTTCTTTAAGGATCTGGCTTTTTATCTGCATAATGTAACTTTTTATCTCCTTACCCTTCATTTTCAAGGCTCACGTACAGCTGCATAGGCTGACAGAGATTAACAACGCAGAGTATGTGTGGCTTCACATCAACATCCTACAGAGAAATGGTTTTAAATGATGGAGGAGGCCTTTCAGTAGCTCAGAAGAAATGTTTTTGCCAAGTTTGTGTGGTTGCAGTCAAATCAGGAGTATTAGGCATGTCTCCTGCCTCTTGGAAAGATGAACATCAGACTGTTGGCAGAACAATGAGACACTTGGGTCTGCTGGGTTGCCTGGTTTTGTGCCTTGTCTGCAGGTTCTTGGGGGAGTGGCCCAGCTTTCCCTGGACAGGGCAGAGGAGATTCCTATGCAGGATAGGCCATAGCTTGGTGAGAGTGCTTGTTGGGGGGGTGAATGTGTGAAGGATACTGCAACTGAACTGATGGTCTGTCTGGAACTGTACTGGTGGAATGGGGAATCCTGCATGGCAGCCATGCAAGGCACCTGCAGAAGCAAAAGCTATCACATTTCCACTTTTTGCAAGTAAAATTATTACTTGCCTAAGGTGTACAGGGCTGTTTGGGGCAGATCTTGTTCTCGTACTTAAAACTGAAATCTATTTGTGGATCTGAGTTCTACAGTCTGGCAGAGCTTCTGAAGATGATGAAAATCAAAAGACTTTAGCTTCAGTGTATAGAAGCATTAAAGCCTTATTTTGAACAGCAATGGATTTGTTTCACAGAGGTAGTTTTCTAATAAAGGTAATTCGAAAATATATTCCACGTTTGGCGGTATTCTGGTCTAATTTCTTGAAATAAAAATTGTAAAGAAAATATTCCACTTTCTACAATGTCAGTATAGTCCAATCATCAGAATTTATATAGAAATATATTTGTAGCAATTTTAGAAGCGCCATTTTTAATATAATTATCTTTTTTTTCCCCAGTAAATAGGGAAACCGTTTAATTCTGTTTTCACCTTAATTTCCAAAATTTTGTTTCCAGCAGAGTCAAAATGTCAGACAAAAGTGATTTAAAAGCAGAACTTGAGCGCAAAAAGCAACGTTTGGCTCAGATAAGAGAAGAAAAGAAACGGAAGGAGGAAGAACGGAAGAAGAAAGAGGTAAATTTGCAAAAACACCTTTAGATAGCTCATGCTTGAAGAAGGGGCTTGTTGGGGTTTTGACATTAAGTATTGCATAGCCCAAGGTATCTGTCATGTGGAATGAGATCCTTAAATCCACATCAGACCAGCCTTAAAATCAAAATGCTTATTTTTTAGTCAAGAATGTTGGGGAAAGGGAATTGCTTTTAAAACCATGGCACTGTCAGATGACAACAGTTTAGACAACATGATGTGTATGTGTGTGTAGAAAGAAAAATTGATTTGCCACAATGCTTTTTCCTGGGCTCTCCTTCAATGGAAAGGGAGTGGAGAGTGGGGAAAGACAGAAGGAGGCCTCACATTTTTTCAGGCCATTACAATCTAAATGTGTATTTTTGTACTCTGAAGACTAGTTTGATTACTAGCTAAGATAACAGATTTACAATTATTATTCTCCAGTAAAGTAAAACATAATTGCAATTGCATTTTCGTCTTCTGGCATGGTTGCATCTTTCAGTTCTGTTTAAGTTTGATTGGCATATTAGTTTATTTGTCCTTGACAATATGCATTAGGTTTTTCATTAAGGGATTTGTACTTCTTTTTGTTCAGTCACTTAGTGGAATAGAGGTGAGAATTGACAGGGAGTGGATATTAATTTTCATGCAAAGTCAGAGAAGCATTAAGTGATTATGCTTCCTTTCCTTCAAATGTCAACACTTACTATAGTTTAAAGCACCTGTTATCCTTTACTAATAACTGGTTTCCTTTTAAACTGACACTTTAATATTGTACATGAATTTCATGGAATTATCGTGGAAATGTGATTTGATCCAAGAAATCAGAGTTCCAGTTTTGGCTGTCTTTTTAATCTTTTTTCATATGAGCCACATTTGTGCAGTTACCAGCACACACCCCATTGAGGCTCCTGGAGTCACTGGGGGAGTTGTTGATAAGCAGAACTTTAAATGGTAGCATTTTCAGTGTTCATTACTAAAGAATTAGAGGGAAGGAAGCCAAGGTAATGGCTCAAGGGAGCTATTAAGTCCTTTCCTTTGTCCCCTGACTCTGATTTTATGCCTCGTGGATATCCTGTGGTGGTTGGAACTTTCCATTGTCCCAGATAGCCAGATCTAGCTTGTCTTGGGACACCCAGCTCTACAGATAATGCTGCAGTGTGTAATTGTGGAGCCATAAATGGGCTGCACTGTGATGCCAGATGGCATCCAGGAGTGATGGCTGACACTCACTGAGGTGCTTAGCCCTGCACACTGGTGCAGGAGAGTTGTCTACAGCCTTGCATACTATGAGACAGTTCATGTGAAGAGCTGAGCACAGGAATATGCCTGAACTTTGTAAAAGCAATGTTCTTTCTGGCCATGTCCACACTGGAGAACATGGAATTCTTTTGAACTTCAAGGGGTTTTGTTGTGCTTGCACCGACATCAGCACCGGTCTGAGGCACTATGCAAGTCCCCTTTGCCCCACACTCTGGTAGCAGCAGAAAGGAAAATCTTTTTGTGCAGTTCTGGCTAATACAGATGCTCCTCCTGTTTTTAGATGCCAGAGAGGGGGAAGGCTAATGTGTGGAAGATCCAGGGAGGTATAGATATCTAAGCAGAGAGGGAGGGGTCTTGTAGACCTTTAGTTTTGGCTGTTGGTGCCAAAGGCTGCCAAAGTCCTAGTTTAGAGACATTAGTTCTTTCCTTTACTCCTGTTATATGTTGAATATTTTCTACTCATATAATTGCTAGAGCTGATTATATGTGAAATGAACTTTCCTGTTTTCTTCTGTTTTAATTTAGGCTGATCTACAGCAAAAGAAGGAGCCAGCTCAGGAAGATTCTGACCTAGACCGTAAAAGAAGAGAGACAGAAGCTTTGTTACAGAGCATTGGTATATCTCCAGAACCACCTCTAGGTATTTAAGAGAAGAACACTGTAAAGCATTCAGCTCTGCCACAATGAATGCATTCTTTCTCCTAAAGCATGCTTGGCTTTTTTGATTTTTGGCTGTATTAGTGAAGTGAACTCTTCTGTTTGAATGCCTGCCATACCATCTACATATACAAGCTCATGACATTATGAGTACTTGTCATTGCCAAAAACATCTGTTTCATTTCTTCAAGAAATTTTTGTGAACGTAATGCAGGTCTGTTTTGCATACCAGCAGTGATTTCTTTTCTGATGGATTGTTTTATCTTCTCTCACATCTATCTGATGACCCAAAAATATTATGAAAAATACTGCACTTCATTAGTCCCAAGTTTTGTTTCAAAAATTCAGATTAATCATTTATAAGGAAGGAGGAGCATAGTCATGTTGGAATTCCACTGATTTTCTTTTAAAATCAAGCAAAAGTGGAGAAGGGAAATAAAAAAAAAAAACACAAATAGCAAAATGCTTATCAACAAAACACTATTGTAGATTTTAGCTCTGGTTTCATGTACTTGAGTTCTTTTTTGGTTTTGATGTTTAATTCTAGAACCCAAAGTCCTCAATTTAAAAATACATTTAGTATCAAGTAATGGTTAGGGTAATTTTATGTATAATAACATATGTTTTCTTGAATTATATCATAATATTATAAATTCAGATACATTTTTAATGTCTACTGTTTAAAATACTCATTTTTATCTAAGAATGAGTATATATGTCCTTATCATTTTATGAACTAAACACATATATTGATGTTGCAAATTATCAATTCTTATCTTAGTTAACTATTTTGTGTTTAATACTGACAAAAGAACGTGAGAATTCGCATTCCTTTTAGTTAAAAATAGTATTTTGTTCTCTTTCATTCCCTGTATATACACTCACAATTAATATACAAAGGAGACTTTACTTCTACCTTCACACATGATACCAGGTCTCATTGCAAATATGTAATACGTAAACAACCAGGCATACCTGTAACCTGCCAAAGAGCTGTAATGAAGATGAATTCCCTTTTCATGCTGCAGTCGTTTCTATGACAGTCTCTAGTGAGAATCTGCATTAAATGTTTGACCACATGGAAAATCCAAATCTCTTGACAGGTCTGTCATTATACGTTATAAAGCATAACAAAGTAGTTTAAAGCTTTGCTCCATTAAATCTATAAAAGGAAATGCACATGATTTAAACCAAATGGGAAACTTTGTTTTTGCATTAGAACCTCTTTTTGTGTTTGTTCAGTGTGGCTGCTTTGAGGAATACTTGCACTAAGTGTTGACCGAAGCCATCTCTGCATTTTTAATATTTTTGAGAAACCATTTTAAAAGAAATCAGGATATTTTTACTCTTTTATTTATTATTTCCTTGCTGAAGAGCTTTAACTTGGGCTGACCTTGAGCTATGAACTTCCTTTCCTGTTTCAGGAAACAAAACTGCCTTTGCATGAAATATGCTTCAAAAGCCCTGGCAAGCCAAAGAGAGAATCATTTCAAGAGCTTGGACAAATAGTGTCTAAACCAAGGGAAACTTTTCCTTGAGTGTTGAAATCATGTCCCACCCAAAATGGAAATTTTATATGACCTACCTTACCTAACACAATCACTAAGCAAACTAATATGTATTCTCACGTCTTTGGGAAATGATTTTAACTTAGCTGGATTTCCTTATTTAGCTTTTATTTTTTATGTCATTTCCACACTGCAGCCTTAGAGCATATGTAGTGATCACTGGCTTTTTATTTAAATTCAGAATTTTAAACGTATGCTTGTTCTGTTACCTACTTGACTTTACCAGAAGAGTTCACTTAGTTTTTTGACAAGACAAGCCCCTGATATTTCTTCATACCTTTAAAATCTTTTGCAAGTCAGCTTCAAACCAGACCCAAGAAAACAAGTCGTGTTTTATTTCCACAGAAATCTTCTCCATTGATTAGCTGTAGATTTCCATTGGGCTTTCAGTCCTGTCTAAATACATGTCAGTTTTAACACTTCCAGGAGACTTAAAATTCACTTGACTCTCTTCCTTTTCTTTTTCTTTCCTTCCTTATTTGCTTTCACCATTTCAAACTCTCCTACTCATTCATCCACTATCATTTTGGTCCATTGTTTTGATTTGTCTGACACTGCTCTTCATCAGTGCAGTCGCTGCATGTGTTAACATGGGATACCTGTTATTTTCATTATTTAGTCCCAACCCCTATGTCTCCCTCTTCGAAATCAGTGAGCACACCCAGTGACGCAGGCAGCCAGGACTCAGGGGATCTGGGACCCATAGGAAGGTAAGACACAGAGTCAATAGAATTGAATAAATGTGGTTTTTTTCACTTCGCTCTTATTTCCCCTATTTTTCTTTTTCTTATGTAAATAAGAACATGCTGTATCAAATGTGTACTTATGTTTCTGCATTTTCCACTGTGTGTTACCATCCAGGAAGACTGGTCTCAGATGTGAGGTAAATAGATGTATGCAGCAAGCAGATCTTAAGCTATGAGCCCCAAACCTTATAGTGGAAGCAAAAGCTCCACTTACACTTCTAAAATGGCCCACAGAAAGCTCTCATTCTGTGTGGAAACACACTAAAAACAGGGGGAAGTGCCTAGACGTAGAACCTGTTATTTAAATTCTCTTTGTTCAGATAACCAGTCCCCTTAGAAGTTCTTCCCCGTGTTACACCAGGTTGCTTCAGGTTCCTGAGGCTGCTCATCACAGTATGTGGCAGGGAGGAGCTTGGACAGGAGCTGAGACATCCCAGGACCCACTGGCAATTCTGCTTTGGAAACTCTGGATATTGGAGAGTTTCATGCAGAACGGGAGAGAAATAATTCTCCTCTTGTTGGAAAGGGACAATGGTGTGTGTGTGAGGGATGGTAACAAGCAATCTTCTTATCTTTGTCTGCACAGTTTAAATAGAAAATCCCAAAATAATTCCTACTCTGGAGCAGAAAAGAAAGGAGGATGCTGCTGGTAAAGGAGCATATGTTCAAGTAAGAAAAAGTGCAGGCAGCTATACGGTATGTTTTGAGAAATGCGAAACATGGGTCCTAATAGCTCTTTTTGTATCAAACTAATTCAACATAGAGCTGCCAGTGCATCCAAATCTGTGAGCCAAGACTCTGCTAATGGTTTGAAAACGCAGTGATTGCTTTCTGCAGTTAACAGTTCTCAGTAGACATTATAACTCCACAGACATAAAGTAACATGACAGAACTTCAGTTCATCAGATTTCCTGCCACACCAGCCTTCTACTTAGAAAAATCACACTTCTCTAAGCTGCAAGTATGTTGTGTCCCCTTCAGCCAGATGCAGACGCCGTCCGTTGTGATGTGGAGGCTGCACATCTGCTACTAAAATCGGCTCAGCCTTGCTCCCACGTCTATCCTCGGAAGAAGTGGAGGTTATTAAATGGAAAAGCCCTAGCCTGTGAGATGTAGCAGTTCAAAACACAGAAAATAGTCTAATGCTGCCTTCATAAGTAAATGCAGTAGACTTCAGCAAATCAAAGTGCTTTCAGTAGAACAAAAATAGTTTTAAAGCAATGTATAGCCTGCTGTTCGGGATGAAGTTATTTCCCACAGTCCTATGTGAAGCTATGACAAAGCTGGGTGGAGAATTCTGAATTCCTGGTTTTCCTCTGAATCTTAATAGTGTAACTTTTTTACTGTTAGGATAATGAAATGCTCTTGGAAGAATTTGTTTTGCTGTGACCTACGCTAGCACTTTGGCTATCTATCAGCAACAAGCAATGTAAGCACATGACCATGTGCCCTTTCAGAGGAGAATGGAGTTTGTCCTCTTCTTTAGAGCTTATGCCGTACTGCATTGTGGGGCTTTCATTTTGGATGCATTTTTTGGTGTGTTATGGCCATTCTAGGAATTCAGTGGGAATCCTAAGACCTTGCTTGTAGACCACCAGTTTTCTTGGCATCCTCTCAGGTATTGAAAAGGCTGTACCATGTGCCAGGACAGCTGCTTGCAGATGTTTGCCTGGAGCAATTGGTTTCTGGCAATGGAAATATGATAATGTCTGTCCAGGCCCTGGGGAATGACTGTAACTAGTGGATAGTACTGGGTGGGAATTAGTCAAATTAGTGTCACCGGGTGCAAGTAGATGCACTCGGTGTTTGTACATTTATGATAGAGCAGTCAAACTCAGAGAGGAAGGTATTGATAGACCTGTCATCACAGCAGGTAAACAAGAGGAAAGCATCTCAGCTTTCCTGAGAGATGCTTAGACTGTGCTTCTGACTTACTTTGGCTACTGTATATGTTAATGCCTGTTTATCTGTATAAACAAAGTTGTCCTTCATTTTAATGTGTCCTTCTATTTCGAACTCTATGATAGAGAGGGTGCTTCTGCTGGATTCCCTGTCATACCATCATGCTTGTTAGATCTTTTGCTTTTCCTCTTTCTGCTGTGAATTTTCTGTGCTGGGCTGAGCTCAGGATTTAGAGGGGAGCAGATTAGTTTCAAAGCTGCTAATGCCCCAATCTCTGTGATCACAGCTTGTCTGTCATTGTTGCTGCTATCACTGCTGCAGAAATGACGAGCTCACACAGCCTGGCAGAAATCCTGCTTGCAATTTGATTACTCATTGCTGAAGTGTTCCCCAGAGGAAGATACGGATATTCAAAAAAAAAAGCTGTGAAGTCACAGATTTTGGCTCACTACATGAGAGAGGCTCTGTTGAAAGCTTTGAAGAATGCAAGAGATCTTCATACGTTCCCATATGAGGGAGCAGGTTCTGTTGCAGAACTAAATTGTGTTCATACTTCCTTGAGTTGTTAGTACTTCTAGTAGTTGTGAGACTTAATCTGTTGGTCCCAATAGCACCAAGTATACCTGAGGTATGCTTTGATCAGCAAGCACCTGTGATTCCTTATGTAACAGTGAATGTAGTTCTGCCAGAAACCCAGGTTTCTGACATCTGCTTTTCAGGAAGGGCAATTGATAAACTGGAAAGTTTGAACAGTGTTATGTAGTTGTAGTCCTAGAGACAGAGACCTCACTCAGTCTTACTTTGCAAGATAAAAACTGATTAGTAACTTGCTCACCAAGTGTAATAGTTATATGGGGAGGAAACAAGCTCAGGAAGGCAAGGTGTAAGAGCAGCAACGTGTTTGGTATTGAAACTGGACAAATGCAAACCCAGAAAAATTCTGTGAAATTTAAGAGTGAAGAAAAATTTACCTGAAGACTCTATTGGATCTTCTGTCACTGTCTGTAGCTCATTCAGGATAATCTACCTCATTCAGGACAAACAGGCAGATACCAGGTCAAACAATAACTCATTCATGAAAGTCGTGCAGCTCTTTTGTTGCACAGGAAGAAAAGCTGCATGGTCACAATGGTCCCTTCTGCCGTGCAACCTATAGACTAGTAGTGCTGCTGTCCTGCAGGACCATTGTCCATTATCTCCAACACAATAGCTAGAGCAGTGTTGTCTTTTCCCTGGTGCCATTCAGCTTCTTAGGGGATGGTATGAGGCGGACTGTGTAATAGCACTAAGTTATGGAATCATTTCTGTCTTGCACAGCCCAGGTTTCTGTGGGGATTTTTTGCTGCTTTATGTTTAGTACCATTTAGCTATTTGTCATAACCTTTTCACAGGGCATAACACTAGGTTTCAGCAGCATTCCAGCTTCTCTCTGAGCCATGACGGTAACTGTAAGAATAAGCAGATGTTAGATGAGTAACAGTTCCAGAAATTGCTGACTGGATGCTTTCAGTTGGACAGGAGAGCCAAATATTTTTTTAATTTTTTTTGTGGTCTTGGGGATCATTTCTGGATAGGTAGAGGTGTGTCATACTTTGATTCTGGTGCTGCTCTTAGTTATCAGGCTGCACTGAACAATTCATTGGAGCCCAGCTGTTGCTCAGAGAGCAACTTGCCTATCTCCACATTGCTTTGCACATCGCAGTTCGTTTTTCTGATGCCTGTGTTTCTTGTGCTACACAGATAGGACAGGAGAATGACATCACAGAGGAAAATGACATCATAACCCATTGTCTCTGAATACATGGGTTATTGGTTCACAGGGCTTTCTGTTATTCAGATACGACTAATTTTCCACAAGACAATGTTGCAGGATCCCGTGAAGATCTCCTTGGAATAGAGTATGCTTGGCTCTTTCAGGATAAGTATTTTGCTTTGTTTAGTATTTTGTAAGCATTTTGATGATTCCCAGTGTCCTATTGCTGATAGTCAGCTTATACAGACACGCACAACTGAAATGTAGACTGGAATATGTGTGAAGAAAAGGGCTGAGGTAAAGGCATTTGCCAAGAGTTCCTGTGCTGTAGCATGATGTGAAACAAATTTGCCTCTTCAGGACTATTAATATGGAACTTCTTCATGATAACTATATGCATCTCCCTAGTGGATACTCTGAAATTTTGCTACCATAGTATGCCAGAGAGGATAATAGATATTGTATTAGAGCCATCATAAAACAGTGCCCACAAAGAGGCATGTTTTACTACTCAGTATACCTTAGGCATTCATAAATCTCATTATTTATGAGATGGCACTCTCATGGCACTCTCAGCCATGAACTCCAGGTATGTGTCATCTGAAAAAGTGTACAAGGACAAACCTTGTACAATGCCTCAAAGCCAGGCAGCTCAATACCAGGTCTTGTGGGCTGAGCAGCTCCCTGGAAAGGATATCCTAGCACAGGTAGGGCCAAAGCACATGTGCTTTTGCATGTCAGCTCAGCTTTAGATAGCAGAAATACACCTGTGCTGGAAGGATGTGCTGCTGTGGCTGGGTAGATTTCAGTGATAATACAAGCCTGTGTTGGCATGTATTCTTGTATTACTTGCACCTTGTCATGTGTTCACCCTGTACTGTGTTCACCCTGTTCATTGGCATGTGGCACACGTGGAGTTTGTGGACCAAGGTGTGATTTATCTGTGTGGCCCATTTTGCCCTGTATCCTTCGCTGCTCCTGTATGTTCCTAGCTGGGAACATGCTATATGTTCCCAGCTAGCTTCACCATCCTACAGTATGTTTGCACAGTAGCGTCCCATCTATTGTTGAGCTGAACTGTGTGGGGGTGCGTGCAGTGGAGTGCCCTGCGTGCAGCACTTTCCACTGTGCTTTGAGGAACATGAGAATCCCATTAGGCTGGGTGTGAAGTTTCCCACCTGCCATCTGCTCAGTGAACTGCACCAGGCTCAGCTGCCTTGGACATGTAAAGGTTAATGGTTGCCTTTCTTTCTGCAACAGTTTCATCTGTGCTCTTTAACTTGGGTGTTTTACTGCCCGTATGTTTAGA